ATAACGTGTGCAAGTAAATTTAGGGTTTACAATTAGGTGCAGAATTTCAATTGCTATGCAATATGGCCCTCTCAATTCCTGGCAAATAGACGGGGAAGAAATGGAGGTAGTGACAGATTTTATTTTCCTGGGCTCCAAGATCACTGCAGCCAAGAAATTAAAAGAGGCTTGCTCCTGGGGAGGAAAGCTATGGCAAATCTAGACAGCATACGAAAAAGCAGAGACAGCACCCTGCCAACAAAAGTGTGCATAGTCAAGGCTATGGTTTTCCCAGTTGCCATGGATGGCTGTGAAGGTTGGGCCATAAGGAAGACTGAGCGCCAAAGAATGGAGGCCTTTGAACTATGGTGTTGGAGAAGACTCCTGCGAGTCCCTTGGACTACCAGGTGATCCAACCAATCAGTCCTAGAGGAGATAAACTCTGACTGCTCTTTAGAAGGCCAATTCCTGAAGATGAAACTCAAGTACTTTGGCCACCTAGCGAGAAGGAAGGACTCCCTGGAGAAGAGCCTCATGCTGGGAAAGATTGAGGGCAAAAGAAGAAGGGGACGGCAGAGAATGAGGTGGCTGGATGGAGTCACTGAAGCAGTAAGCATGATCTTAAATGGATTCCAGAGGATGGTAGAGGACAGGAAGGCCTGGAGGAATGTTGTCCATGGGGTCATGATGGGTTAGACACAACTTTGCAACTAACAACAAGAAGATTAGCCCACCCATGAACTGAGCCTTTACATTTTTTCTGAACAGCAAATTAAAGGCAGAACAAGAACATGCTTATTTTTCCAGAGAGAAAGCTGAAACGGGGTTTGCGATTCACTTCGTACATACAGACATTCAGTCACAAACACACCCATTTTGCAGGGAGTTGAGCAAAGAGTAAAGTATGCCTGCATACACTCTGCAATTTTACTCCTGAAGCAGCGAATGGGTGGGGTCAACCACGACGAACCTTGACCCTTGCATCTCTCTCACCTCTGCAGAGGACGCCAGCGTCTTCGTGATGCCCACAATTATGTTGCCCCCATCCCAGGTTAAAGCAGTCGGTCAGCTCACTCTCGGTGCCAATGCAATCCACGTTGTCCAGAAGGATGGGCCCACTGCCGTAGCCGAAGTAGCCCAGCACGGTAGCCCCAATGGCTGCGCCGCAGCCCAGTTGGCGGCATACAACCTGTGCGTTGGGGTAATCCCAGTCATCATCACAAACGGTTCCCCAGAAGTCCCCATAAAGGACTTCCACGCGACCTTGGCAGCTGCTGTTCCCGTTCGCCAGGCGTATGCCGCCACCTGCTGGTCAGAGTGGGAGAAAGACGAGACTGGAACGGACATCAAAAATGACGATCTTTAGAGTTGCAGTTAATTTGGAAATACCCGGGCAACAGCTTGAAATGTTGCTCCCCTATTCTTCCCAAAGACCCCTTCCCATCTCCCTTCTGGTCCCATAATCCAGAGCAAAACACATGCAGCTCACCCTTTGCTTCCTGAGGCATGCATCATAGTATGTTACTTCATTACATTGGGGGTGGGGGAAGGATTGCGTCTCTTGACCACTGCTACCGTAAAGGAGTTGGAAAGAGTTTCAGCAGCCCCGCTCAGTTCCCTTTCCTGGGTTTATTTATTCATATTATCAAAGCCAATCCCAGAACTCTCCCTCCACGAGTTTATACTAGCTGTCATTCCAGCTGTTGCAAAAGAATTTGCTTTTGAGATTTCTTTCAAGGAAAGGGATTTTACTCATGCTTTCAACCTATTTACTTACTAGGCAGCGGAATTGTATTTTTCACTGTTTAAGAATCTCGTAAAGGTCTGCTGGGGGAGGGGGGACAAAAAGACAACAGCTGTGACAACATGATTGAAACATCTGCTTGGCCCATAAAAATGGGAGAGCTTCATTTGTTATCTTAGAATCATACAATTAGAGCGTTGGAAGGGACCTTGGAGATCTTTAAGCCCAACCCTCTGCCCAAAAGAGGAGTCCTCATATTAGAATAGAATAGAATAGAATAGAATAGAATAGAATAGAATAGAATAGAATAGCAGAGTTGGAAGGGACCTTGGAGGTCTTCTAGTTCAATCCTCTGCTTAGCAGGAAACCTACACCACTTCAGACAAATGGTTGTCCAATCTCTTCTTAAAAACGTCCAGTGTTGGAGAATTCACAACTTCTGTGAATCTCATCTTGATTTTCGCACGTCTCTAGGCTAAATGCAGGAGGTGCAAGGCCAAAGGTCCAGCTCAGAGGTCTTCATACTTGGCAACTTTAAGACTTGGGGACTTCAACTCCCAGAATTCTCCAGCCAGCATAGCTGAAGTTGAAGTCCATAAGTCTTAAAGTTGCCAAATTTGAGGACCCCTGGTCAGTGGTAGGTTACAATGGGTACGCCCCAGTACAGGTGCCTGCCGGGAGCACCGGGTACAGTTCCGTTACAGTACTCCGGAGGACCCACCCACCCGCCCTCCTTACCAGTATGTGAACTCTTCCGCGCATGTGCATGGAGCGTACGGGGCCTGTGTGACGCTCCGCCAATAGCTGGAGCATTGCGGAGGTGTCGCGGAGCATCACAGGTGGTAAGTACGCATGTGCGTGCTGTGCACGTTCATGTGGTGGATGCCGGGCCCCATTGCACCGTACCGGTTGCAACGGGATCCAGAACTCACCACTGCCCCTGGTCCAGCTCCTTGCAGTGGCTAACAAAACAAAAATGTATTGGCTGTAGGCACTGCTCAGAGATAGACTTCATTTGAGGAGTCCTTGGTGCTGCCTGAGCTTGGTTGCCCCAGGGGTGCTTTTTTTTCAAGAGGCAACTTAGAATTATTAGAATAGCAGAGTTGGAAGGGACCTTGGAGGTCTTCTAGTCCAACCCCCGGCTGAGGCAGGAAACCCTATACCGTTCCAGACAAATGGCTATCCAACATCTTAAAGACTTCCAGTGTTGGGGCATTCACAACTTCTGGAGGCAAGCTGTTCCACTGATTAATTCTTCTCACTGTCAGGAAATTTCTCCTCAGTTCTAAGTTGCTTCTCTCCTTGATTAGTTTCCACCCATTGCTTCTTGTTCTACCCTCAGGTGCCTTGGAGAATAGTTTGACTCCCTCTTCTTTTTATATCTATTGCTATATTATAGCAATAGCTCTTAGACTTACAGCCCCTCTCTAAGCGGTTTAAGTCAGCATGTTGCCCCTAACAATTTGGGTCCTCATTTTACCGACCTCAGAAGGATGGAAGGCTGAATCAACCTTGAGCTGGTGAGAATTGAACTGCCAAACTGCATTCAGTGAGCACAAGTAGCCTGCAGTACTGCATTCTAATGATTCCGCCACCACGGCTATCTTGGACAAATCATTATCCAGTCTTTTCTTGAAAACCTCCAGTGATGGACTATCCCCAATTCTAAGAGATGTCCCACTGATTAAAAGGTCTCATTGTCAGGAATTCCCTCCTTATTGCCAGGTTGGATCTCCCTCTTCCACTCCTTGCTTCTTGTCTTACTCTATCTTGTCTCCTATTCTTGTTCTACCTGTCTTGATTTTGTTAAGCTTTCCTTCCCCACCTGGGTCCCCTTGCTTTAATTCAGTCATCATGAGTGAATTCTTCCCCTTGGCTTGGGGGAAAAAAGTATTGGAGAACTTCTACTTTTCCAGGATGAATCACACACACACTTTTTTGGTTTTTGTCCAGAAATGTGAAAATTAAAAGGGCCACTTATGTCTGATCAATACTATAATATTTCAATAGCATCCAGGACATGTTTCTTGGTATCAAGAGTATAAAAACTTACTTTTTTCTAACAGGAGAAGGGCTGAAGTCATCGCCATCTCAGTTTCAGAGGTGGACTGAATTTTATCCTCGGTGACTGCAAAGAGAGCATGCAATTGTGAGAGCATTCCCACCCTGATATCTATGTGAAATGAATGTTAGGAAGGTGGGCTATTCTCTGTTGTTTAAACTCAGTTTATAGAATCACAGAATTGGAAGAAAAAGATGATCTAATCTCTCATCTCATGAAGAAAATCCACAACCACAGTAGCCTTCTAACACTGATGGGATTCAAATAGTTTAACAACCGGTTCTCTGCCCTAATTATTTCTTCTAACAACCAGTTCACCAAACTGCTCAGAAAGTTAACAAC